CTGTTCTGAATCAAAACTTGCTGAGCTATGGGTATGAAACACAATGCTGGCAGGTATCCCACTTCATGCTTTCACAGTGTAAATCTACACTCACGTAGTTGAATGTGGCCTGGACCTGGCTCAGCATGGAGCGCAGCAGTGGAGCACTCAGGGCTGGCAGCAGCCGCCATCTTGGCCGCTGGCCCGCACCAAGGAGAAGAAGTGACTCAGAAGGGAAGGAGGCAGAGTCAAGGTCAAACTCAGCCAACTATTCCTGCCTTGTTCTGGGCACATTTTGTCAATCTCCAGTCTGACTATTCTGAATCAGAAAGTCTCCCTCCATCCCGCAGAAAAAAAGGCCTTTTAAATGAAAGACTTCTATTAATTTATATTTGAAAGGAAGGGTCTCTCTGTGTGTGACAAATTATGCACACACTGGGCAGTACTGGGCGGGAATTGTGGGCAGTGTCAAATGTTGCATGTGATGGCATGAACATAGGCTGTAATTCTGTAAAGATAACAAAGGTGCAATAAAGAACACTATAGTCGCAACTGCAAAGTGCTTTTTAATGGGAGAAGAGCCTGTTGTGATAAAGTTCTTAGTTTCCTAGCACAGACGAGGAGCATCTGTGTGATCCCTCACATGGAAGTATAGAAGATTACCCCTTTCCAAGATGACCTGACTATTTCTTCCTTTAAAATCTTTTCACCCGATAATTAACTAAACTACCATACTCTTATCCTAAGCAAAAACAAAGACTTTGTAGCCACTGTCATTTGTTAAAGCGGCAAGCAGAAAATATAAAATTTGTTAATCTCTCATTTAATTAATTAATTAATTAATACTTTAATTAACAATTTAATCCAGGGAATATGTTAATGCTGAGAGTCCAACTAAGGTCCAAAACACACTGCAGAAATGATCCAGTTTGAGACCACTTTAACTACCTTGGCTCAATGGTAAGGAATTCTGGGAACTGTAGTTTTTTTAGTCATTTAGCCTTCTCTGTCAGAGAGCTCTGGTGCAACAATAAACTACAATTCCAAGGATTCCCCAGCATTGAGCTCAGGCAGTTAAAGCCGTTTCAAACTGCATTATTTCTGCAGGGTGTTTTGGACCTATATCAATCAATTACGCTGAAAAACACTTTTATTTAAATTGCCCCTTTTTGTTAGAAATTTTCTAACTTAATTTCTAACCTAACTGAATTTAATTAGTTATTTCCTATGTAGGTCTGCCAGGTGAAAAACAGGACAGGGTTCCCACAACTTTAATAGTTATGAAGAAGAGGGAATTTCAGCAGATCGTACAACCTTATCATATAAGCTGCAACTGCTCCCTTTTCCACACAACCATTACAGCATAGGTGGGCAACTGTGGAAGGTTAGGCTGCCACATTACCCCAGGAGACTTTATAGGGCCAATGCATACTCCACTGCATCCCCTCATTAAAAAAAATGCCCCTTAGGTGACATGGGAGCATTTTCACCATTTTAGGTTTAAGAGAGCCTTTTTAAAACAACAGGAAGTGATCTTATTTTTATAAAGGTCTATTCTTGGTATAAAAAGGCATGGAGGAACAAAAAAAAATTAGGAAAATGGCCCCCACACCATGTAGAAAGCATTGGAGGTGGGCAAAAATTGACTTCCCGAGGGGCACAGGCAGCCAGTGTGCCACAGTTTGCCTAACTGCACTAAAGAACCAGGTTTTTCACAGCCAATCTTATTCCTTTCACTGACTATACATGCTAGAAAGTGAGATGGTTAATGTTGAAGAAAACTCTGGAAATAGTCTGTAGTTTGCTTATCATATATGAAGGTGCACCTGAAATATACCATAGGATTTGTCACTAGGAAAGCAGCAGTCAGCCTTCTTCCACCTCTTGCAGAAACCCAATCATACACTGGGATGAACAAAGTACAGCTCATGGCCCACATGTGTTCCTCCGGACCATTTTTAGGGGCTTTCACACATCCCCCACTTTTTTTGCTAAAAAGCCCCCCCCCCCATGCTTCATCAGGCACATTTTTGTTACACTTTTGCACTTTTTTAGTTTCTTTAGGCCCAGGGGAGGCCAGAAACTAATATACTCCCCATCCCCAGGCAGTAATTTCTGAATGTCATACACTCTCACATCAAGTTCACCCAGCAAGCAGTTCTGGGAAAGGGGCACTTGTGACACTGCTCTTCCCTCTCTCCCTCAAAGCAGTATGGTCTCTGCATTTAGAAGGGGATAACTCAAGCATCACCCTTCCCAAATCCAGTACTGAGTCACAAGCATAATAAGAGGCTTGGTCTCTTCCTGTCTACAAACTTTGAAAGCTCTGCTACAATTTTGCAGCTAGGAGAGATTTTACATCAAGTGCTATAAGAAAGAAATTATAAAATAGCAGTGAGATTTTGCATATGCAGCCTCTGTATAACATCAAAGTATAGCTCTTAAAGACTATTATTCTATGCCAGAGATAGGCAACATGTGAGCCTCATGAAGTTGTTGTCCATCAGTTCTAGTCAGCATATGTAATGTGAACTGTAGTCCTATAATCTCTAGAGGGCTCCCATCCCTGCTCTGAAGCTCTCAAAAAATATAATCTCAAACTTCTGGAAGCGATGCATCCATTTGCCGAACAACAGCCCAAGTTTCAGCATATTAAAAGAGAGACAGAGGGGGGTTGCAGACTGCCAGAAATAGTGCAAATTGAGTCCACTTTTAGGGTTAGGGTTAGTGCTAGGGAATCATGGGAATTGTTTTTTTCCTGAGACATTAAGCCTTCTCTGTCAGAGAGCTCTGGTGCCACAATAAACTACAGTTTCCATGATTCCCTAACCCTAACCCTAACCCTAACCCTAACCCTAAAAGTGGACTCAATTTGCACTATTTCTAGCAGTCTGCAAAGAAAGATCTCCAAAGCTTACCTGAATGGCTTCTGTGGTGTGATGAGGCCAGTGTCAGCCTTCCCCATAGGGTTATAAGGCAGAGAGAGAGCACCAATACCCCTTTGCTCAAGCTTCGGATGTCCCTCTCACTCATTCTGGTGAGACAAAAGAAGTAAGATGCACATGAAACTGACAGAAAACCTGAGAGACAAAAGAACAACAACGTAATAGCATCCTAAAACTATGTGAACTTGTTCTATTTTGTAAACAAATTATTTTGTATTTCAACATTTCCTCCACCATGAACTCAAAAATGCATACAGTATTCCAGCAGCTGTACTTTTATATGCCTTCAAACTGACTCCCACTAGCAGCAACCATATCTTGGGGTTTCTTGGCAAGTTTTAATCAGAAGAGGTTTATCGTTGTCTTCCTATGAGGCAGAGAAAGCATAACATAACTAAAGTCACTCAGTATGTTTCATAGTTGAGCAGAAATTTGAACTTTGGTCTCCTGAAGTCCTAGTCCTACATTCAAGCCAATAATTGTCAGTAAATCCCCAGATTAAAATAACAGTTTTTAACTGGCCCCTATAAACCAGAGTGGGTGGAAGGTGTACAGAAAAGATGGTGGTATTCTGACAATTGTGCATGCATGCACATATACACCCATATAATAATAATAATAATAATAATAATAATAATAATAATAATAATAAATTTTATTTATAGCCCACCCCTCTGCAAGGCAATCGGGGCGGGGTACAACAATAATTAAAATAACACAAAGTTAAAGCATTCCCTCATCCCGTACTCCCACCCTCCCTTCCCCTTAAAACAGAATTAAACAGAAGATCAGTTAAAATACAATATTAGCAAAGTAAAACATCAAAATAAGTAAGAAAATATATCATGGGTCTATACATCACATTCTGCAGTGAGGCAGGACAATTTACAGGATATTGTAAGAATCAATGCAACTTCACAAATGCCTAATTTTAGACCTGATTCAATTGCTAAATTAAAACTCAGCATTGTGGTGGCAATGTCTGGAAGGTTAGGTGTCATGCACAGCTATCAGTATGTGGAGCTAACCATTTTTAACATGCCATTCTCAACCAGCAATGGCATTTTAAGGTGAAGTGGCTAGGGATCCAGCAGATCTATGTAATAAGCAACTAGATCATTGTAAGAACATAACAGATGGTGTACTGGGCTATCCAATCTAGTATTCTGCTCCTACAATGGTCAAACAGTTGCTAATGGGAAGCCCAGGAACAAGACCATCTCACATTCCTTAGCAACTGATATACAAAATCATGCTACCTTCAGAATCAGAAGTGATATGTCACTGCCTTTACTAGTAGCCATTGGTGGCTTTTATTCTCCCCTGAAGGGGAAGATCAAGAACATTTAGACACCCTCCCCCACTTTCATCAGGAAGAGTCCAACAGGGCTAACTAATAAGAAAGAATCTAAGAATTAGCATATCAGAGAGAGCCAGCACTGACGTAGTGATTTAACTGTTAGACTATGACTCTGGAGACCAGGGTTCAATTCCCAGCTCAGCCATGAAACCTACTAGATGACTTTGGACAGATCACATGCTCTCAGCCTCAAAGGAGGGCAATGGCAAACAACATCTGAACAAATCTTGCAAAAAAAACCCATGATAGGTTCGCCTAAGGGTCGCCATAAGTCAGAAACTACTTGAAGGCACGTAACAACAACAGATTAGAACACCAGGTAAAATATACAAAAACACAGAAGATGAAAACAACAGAATCTTCATGTCAGCAACCTGTCACATGAAGCTGTTTGAAATGAGATAACTGTACGGCTGCTTCTGCAAATTAATCTAGTTTAGAAAATGAGATGTTACATAGGCGAGAGTGCTGCTGCTAAATACTTAATGCATGGGAGTGAGTCATTTTTGTGATTTCACCTGAACATTGACCCACATACCCAACATATCACAGTGGTTGAACTGCTTCTAGTCTGACCAGATGCAACATTATAAATGCAATCTGAACAGTCCCAGGAATCACCATTATTACAACCTGTAAATGTAAATACACAATACTTCCCAGTCAGCACAAAAAAGCCAAATAGCACCTCTGGGCTCTAAGCAATTACACAAGGAGTCAGTGTGGTGTAGTGGTTTGAACACTGGACTAGAACTCTGGAGACCAGGGTTCAAATGCGCACTCAGACATGGAAATTCACTGGATAACCTTGGACAAGTCACATTCTCTCAGACTCATAGGAAAGCACAAGCAAACCCCTTCTGAACAAAACTTGCTAAAAAACTCTTGTGATCATTTGCTTTACAGTTGCTATAAATCAGAAATGACTTGAAGGGACACAACAATTACAGAAGTCCACAGCCCTCAAAATCCAAGGAATCAGTTTGCTATTCCTTAAACAAAAAGTCTGTAAATTGTTCTTGGGTATCAAATTGTAGAATCAGTCCTTTTGCATTAAAAAAAAAACTCTTCCAATTTTTATTTGTGGCCAGGAACTTCCATGCCAATGGGGTGTGAATACACTCTGGATTTGAATCTGAAATTTAAATTTGCTGTTCAAGGTGCAGAACCTGTTTTAGAGATACAGTTCAGCACCTGTAACATCCATTTTAAATAGGGACTAAAACCTGAGCTATTTGTTATACCTTTCCTTAAACATGGAAGCCATGAACTGGCACTGCTAATTTCACAATAAATGATGGGAGGAGAGACACTAAAAGAAGCAGGTCAGAAGTTCAGCCCAATAATGCTGAGGCCCAGGAAAGCAGCAGACATAGTATAAAAGCAGCTGGGTATTGTGAATCTCAGTTTCTTTCATGTGGATGTTTACCTGTTTTTGTTGTCTGAGCAAGACTCCCTCAGGTTTCTCAAAAGACTGCACATAAGGCATCAAATAGTCAATGATTAAAATAAGCATTTAAGCAATTATACATACCTCCTATTGGGACTTCACAGCTATTGTCTGTGCATTGGCCAATCTCAGATAGACTCGGTATTTGCAAAGAAGGGCAAACATCAGGGCATCTGAAAATAATAAAACAGGTGCTTAGCATTAGTGAATAAATTGTACCTGAAAGGAGGGGTGTAAATTTTCACTGATTTTATTCCTGCCTGCAAAAATTAATAATTTCATAAGTTCTCTCCCAAATAGGTGAGCTTATGGGAGTTATTATGCATTCATGCTTTTTCTCACTTTGAGACTTTTCATTTGCACTAAAACTTTCATATGCAAATTTTGTGCAAAAGCATTTATTTTGACGCAAGAAACAAATCCTGTGCACATTTCCACAAATGAATTTTCTCCAAAACAAAGTCCAAAACTGCAAAAATTACAATGGCAGTTGACCATTTTCTTGAGAAGATGTCTCAGTGTGTTAAGACACCCTTTCTTGCTAGTCATAAGAATATTCTGTTAATAAGAGCATTCTGTTCATCTTTCTCTAAAAATATCAGTCAAGTGCATTTCTTCAGAGCACCTTGCAAATGCAGAAGCCAACACACACTCTGAGCTAATTTCTAATATGTAGTCAATTCTCTCTCTTGTCTTTCCCATATTTCACTGTCCAAATGCACATATTTCAGCCAAGCCTGAACAAGCTAGTCAACAAACTGATGCTGACTTCATGCACATATTAAAGAGGTGTCATGAGTGTTTCTTCATGCATTACTTTCCTACATGTTATAGTGCCATGACACTAAAAGTCTTTTAGTCTTTATATTGATTATTTGCTTTTTTATTATTGTTTTATTGCTTTTTACTGTTGTCGTTTTTATTATCATGTTTTACATATTGTATTATTGTACAGTGTTGTACATTTTATCTTTGTGCTCCCGCCTCGATCCACAGGGAGAGGCAGGAAAATATAAATAAATTTTATTATTTTATTATTATTAAACACTGGTATTATGTAAGAAATTTCATATGCAGCTACTTCAAAATAAAACAAAATGTCAGCATGGGTCATTTCCATTAGGGTGTTCCCACAAAGCTATGATACTTTGAATTAGTCCACAACAGACTATGACCTAGAAACAGGGTGTTTACAGCTTCAGTTACAAGGCTTGGGTACTATCTTGTTCTGAGGTGGCTCTTCTCTCCTCTCATTTCTAGCAGCATGTTCAGGGCAGGACTTCAGGACAGAATTTCAGGGGCCTACTTGACAGAATTAACAGGACCCACAATCCAATATGGCTGGCAAGCGAAGTTATATATATTATTTTCTTTAAAGGAGGTGGTAAAATTATTAAGTCTACAAATCTAACCATGCTTGAATGAGACTTTGGACATTTCTTCCCAGAGAAAAGGTCTTGAATACTAGACAGTTTATGTATTTAGTTGCTTTGCTATACAGTTCTGTTTTCATTGTCTCATTCTGATATTTTTCCTAAGCTATACTGACTATGCAAGAAAAACAATATATAAATACAAAGTAATTTTTCCCCCCAAAAAAACTAAGCATGTAAACAATACTAACAAATTAATTCAGTGAGAACAAGTTGTCAACATACTGAGATGCTCTGTTGAGAAAATGATAAAATGTTATGAGATTGTTCTCATTTCTGGAAAAAACAGATTTTTTTCTGCATAAAATCTGTTGCATTTATACAAAATACAAAGTTCTTTCCAAACAATTTTCTTTTGCAAAATAAATAAATAATGCTCACATTTATTTATTTTTTTAAAAAAAATACTATAATCTCACCTAGTTGGAGGGAGGGAATCTTTTTAAATTATTCATTCTTGCATGTGAAGATTTACATCCTTTCTGCACCTCTGCATGCCAACACACCTATTCTTACCTAAACAGTTAAACACTGTAGAATTCTAAGGAAAGATTATCTAGATAAAGCATATGTTTGAGCCCCTAAAATTTAGGGTATTTCAAGAAATCTATGCAGTTCTTCCTGAACACAGTGTTTCTGTCAATTAAGATGATAGGACTTGTACTAAGAAGGCAAATAAATAAATAGGGATGATATTTTAATGACATATTGAAAAATATATTTATTTCCAAAGGACAGAAAGAAGGGACAATGTCAGTGAATATTACAAAGACCCTGCCAACAAAATCTCCTCTCATGTTCTCATTTCTGCCTGCTCCTCCTTTGGTTGATCTGCTCTGAAATCACCATGAGTTCTGGGCAAGGTGGTCTGTCAAAAGGCCTGTTATTAGCTAAAAAGTGCTGAAATGTATTGTGACTTCAGAAGACAGCATCCAATAATACAAATACATCAGAATTCAATGAGCACAGTTTAAGACACTACCATCAAATTGGCTTCCTCTTCAAAACTGTGTATCCTTGTAAAAGGTGTGAGAAATAATACAACATGTCTGCACTGTCCACAACATCTGGAAAAGTATAGAGGTGCCAAAAGTCCATGTCAGTAGCAAAATAGTAAAAAACAAGTGGTCAACTGACTGCACAGAGTTCATGACAAATTACCAGTGATGTTCAGAACCAGAAGATAGCTATCACAAGCTAGAAAAACCCTCTCTCTGACCTTCCCATCAGCCATTCCCTGTCCCTACTATCTCTGTAAATATGGAGAAAAAGGCTTACTTCTACCTCTCCTCAAAAGGAGGGATAAAAAGGATAAAAATGAGGGATAAATACAGATTATGTAGGCAATATTGGTTTGGAATTATATGAAATCATGGGTTACTTAAAACTACCTACAGATTCAGCAGTACAACAAAGTGCTATAATCAGATGTTCATAATGTTTTAATCCCTGGGTAATATTAATGCAGCTGAACATCTGACCATCAATTATATTTCTTGTCCCCCAGCCCAGACAAAGCTTACAGCCATTTCTGGCAAAGATAGCCTACCAATAGATAAATGAAACATCTACGCTCTGTTCCAGCCAGCCTAGAGCAAGACAAGAATATATGTTTGCTACTAACAAAAACCTTTTCCAGTTCTTTCGGAAGTCCTGCAAAATGACAAGCTGAGGAAAACAGCAGGAGCACAGGGAGAAGATCAGCTACTGTACCTACAGAAGCTCAGGAGATATAGATTTCAGATGTAAGGGGACTGCTGAAAGAAAGGTGGGAAGGAGCAGGGTGAGACAAATTCCCAGCAGCACAGCACTGCACTGGATTTCCCTAATGCACCAGGAGCTGCACCAAGCCACTACACTGCTAAATTAGAACTGGAAAAAATCCCTTATTTTTTATTTAAAATTACAATCACACCACCAAAATTCAATGACAGGGTGGTGACAGAAGCAGAGGTATCATTTTTTTTCTGGGTTTTTTATAATGTGTATTGGGAGAATCGTGTTCCCAGAAGCTGGATTATGTTATGGAACAAAGCCCCCATATCTTGTTTTGAAACAGAAATACTTTTTCCCCCAGCACTATAAGTTTCAGAAATAGCAAGAGATGAGATGGGGGAACTAAAAAGGAGCAATTCATTGATATGGAGGGCTGATATTTTCCATTGGGGACATCTCCAGGAGCAGGAAATACAAGAGACAGCAAGCAGTCACAAAGAAAAAAGCCCTGCCCACACAAACGCACTTTGCCAGGGACACAGAAAATGACAACTTCACAGTCTTGTATATCACCTGCTGGGATTTAACAGGGTCCAGAGAGTGAACAACCGCAGAAGATATAAAACTTTAGTACCCAATCAGAATTTATTAACAGTGAGCTAGATAGAGAGCGCATGTTGTTTGTAATGATATACAGCCCTGACTGGGCAAACAGCCACATCCAGATCATTCCTGGTCAAAAGGCATTCCAGATTTCTAGTAAGTTATTTATACATGTTTTAAATCTATTTGAAATCTTTTGTTCTGTTGCATCAATTCTTGAGCTATGTTTTATCATGATTTAATGTTCCTCAGTATTTCTTCTCTAGCAAGCACCACATTTCCTACAAAGCTGTGTGAAAGCCTCCTGAATTAGAATTCAGCTCCTCCTAAACAGTGGTACAAATGTACAGAAAGATGTGTTGTTAAGGTTTTGCATATATGATGTGTTGTTGTGTGCCTTCAAGTCATTTCTGACTTATGGTAACCCTAATGCAAACCTTTTGTGGGGTTTTCTTGGCAGAGTTTGTTCAGGCTTTTTTTCCCTTGCCTTCCTCTGAGGCTGAGAGGGTGTAGCTTGCCCAAGATCATGCAGTAGATTTATATGGCTGAGTGGGGATTCGAAACCTGGTCTCTCAGCATTCCAGTC